CCCCGAATATAAGTCCCCCATATATTAGCCCAGTAGCCCACTACATTATTTAAGATTGACATTGTCTTTTAATATAGCAGAGAATGATATTTAAAAACATTGTCATTGTCTTTATAGCCGACTATGTTTATCATCATTTATCATCATTAATTTGCCACAACACAACAAGAATATAGATATTTACATTAATTGTAGTTTGAGTATCAAAGTTGAGCAGTAGCGAGAAGACCTCAAGAAGCTAAAATGCTTATATTAAGAGGCCATCTCATTTGTTAAAATAATTTTGTAATAAATAAATTGAGTGAAGAGGAGGCCTAGTGACAGTCGTCACGAGGCCCCCTAGTTAACTGTGATAACTCAGAATAAGATCATATCTTTGTACAAGTTCAAAACACACATACATTACTACATAATATACAAGTTAACTAAAACATGTCGATTTCGACGTCTATGCGATATTATAATTTTCAAGTAGGAAAATGCATAATTGATTCTTGAAAGAGGAAATGGTGGTTTTAGCCGTAATATATGGTGGAAAAGAATTCCATGTATTCGGACCAACAGAAAGAATAGTGAATTGCTTTATGTTTGTCCGACACGCGTGAGGTCTGTAATATGTAGCCGATCTAGTGTTATAGCTATGTACTTGATTGTTTGTGATAAATAAGTTATTGAAACATTCAGGTAACAAGTGATAGTGGTATTTATACATAAATTTACCTATGTAAAAGGAATTCAATTTAAATATATCTAATATTTTTAACTGATAGAATAACGAAGAGGAGTGGGCACGGTAGTCGGAGTTCGTCAGAGCTCTTACAACCCGTTTTTGTAGAAGATAAATTCTGTTTAGATTAGTTACATAAGTAGAGGACCATACAATATTACAATAGGTTAGATAAGGATATATAAGAGTATAATATAAGCATAACTTTGTTGTAGGTGATAAAAAACGGCGAGACCTGTAGATAATTCCAACAGATTTCGCTATCTTTTTACAAATATTATTTATGTGAATTTTCCACGACAAATTCTCATCAATATACACACCTAAGAATTTGATACATTGCCTCTGGGTTAAGGTTTGATTGTTGTACTGAAGTACTCCTGTTTGATTCGTAATAACTTCTAAACAAGTAAAGTTTTTAAAGAGAAATAACTTGCATTAAATAGAGGAAGGACTAACTTAGATTTTGATATATTACAGTTGTATTTAACTTAAAAATTCACGGATATATTAATGTTAAAAATGGGGAGCATATTTTGGAATGTGTCTAAAATTAGCGAAAATCGGCATATCAAATATTAACTCCAGCGTTTGTTTGCTTAATGACATATTAGGCTAACTTGTATTTCAGCGAATTATCGTTAAGGTTTGTAAGGGATATGGCGTAGATTTAGACATCTTACATGTAAGTCTTAGCTCATTGTTTCCTGAAATATGAACGTTCGAAATTATGCAAGTATTTAATATTAGGTCTTTGCAAACTTAAATGTACATGAAAGACTGACCATGGAAGGCAGGCGCTTAAATTTTTCGTATTCTTAAATAGCCTAATTTTTTTATGTTTTTAATGGGTTCAAACAGACTGAGTAGATTATTTCTCAGTTAGAGCAGGATGAATATTCTTTATTGAAGGAAATAATATTGCTTTTTGCAAATACACATCACCGTATCAACGCTACTATTTTGTTACGTTTTGTTCCAAAAATATTGCATGTCTCTGGGGAGTTGCTTAATTGTTATGTCTTATGGAGTTGTATGGTTTGATTGTGTTTCAAATAATTCTCAGTTTACTCCATGAACTTGCCAAGATTAAGAAACGGCAAAAGAGTTTGGGTGTTCTTAACAAGATTTCAGAACGTTGCAGAAGTTAGAAGAGCTTCACAATTCCGTTGTGACAGCATGCCCTAATTCAGAACTACGAACGATCCAATGACGATCCTTCGCGATGCAGTGGTCTCATGAAATAAGGAAACGTATTCGTGCTAGGAACACACGCGAATTTCGGACGAATGAATCTTGCTTGTATTTTGTAGATATAATAATACTTTGTGTCATAATAAACAATTTGTCAAGTGTCATTTATTTACTGGTAATAGTGCATGTTTCAGTCGGGCAAATCTTGATTAATATTTGATACGCCGATTTTTGCATATTTCAGACACATCCAGACATATCCTCCCGAATTTAAAGATTAATATCTCAGTGAATTTTTAAGTGAAATACAACTGTAATACATCAAAGTCTAAGTTAGTCCTTCCTCTATTTGATGCAAGTTATTTCTCTTTAAAAGCTATACTTGTTTAGATGTTATTACGAATCAAACAGGAGTACTTTTTTTTGGGCCACCCGGTAGGTTTCCCAGTTCACGATTTAAGATAATCTCGAGATTTTTAATATCCAGATGTGAATAATATACGCTAGTGTCATCAGCAAAAAGAAACGATTTGGCCAATTCCAATGCATTTGGGAGATCATTTATATATAAAATAAAGAGTAGCGGACCTAGTATTGATCCCTGAGGTACTCCACATTTTATTTTATTGAAGGACGAGCAAGTGTATCTAAATTGTACAAATTGCTCACGATTTAACAAATAGCTTCTGATCCACTGCAAGGTCACACCTCGGATACCATAGTACTCCAATTTTGAAAGTAAAACTTGGTGGTCTAGCGTATCAAAAGCTTTCGAAAGATCAATAAATACAGCAGCAGCTATATGGCCTCGGTCGATGTCCGATGCAATATTGTTAACTAATGAAATGAGCGAATGGGAAGTAGAGTGCTTACTACGGAAACCAAACTGAAATTTATATAAGATTTCATGACGTTCAATGAATGAGATTAGTCTTTTTTGCACGACTTTTTCAATGTTAATCAAAGCGTGTTATTACTACATGTTTATTTTCCTGTTTATGACTGACTTGTTTGTGACTGACTTGTTTATGTCTGACTTGTTTATCACTAACACAAAAGATCGTCCATGTATTAGCCCCCCCCCCGTATATAAGCCACCCCCCCGCCTTGTATAAACCCATCAAAAATCGCTTACGAAAGTATATAAGCCTAGGGCTTATGGTCGGAGGTTTAAGGTACTATACAGAAATCCATCTCCATTGTTTTCTGCGCAAGTGCTATTCGTCATGATTCGTCACTCGGCAAGTACCGTAAACAGAAGCAGTCACCCCCTGGCACAGAACAAAGACCAGGTCCCAGCCAGTGTGCGCCCAAGAGGCATTCCCCCTGGACGTCGGTCATTTTGAGTATTATCAGAGAGTCGAATGCCTCCCAAAAGCGCACCAGCCAGGACCATATGGCGTCAGCATTTTGATGACGAATTACGGTCAACGCCAAAATCATTGGGAAATCATAGGAAAAACCAAGAAATCGGGCTTCTGTATAACCCATTCTGTGGCCTGATTATGATGCGCTACCGCTTTATATAACTTTTGGTACAACTGGCCTGAAACTTAAAATAAATTTGATTCAATAAGTTTAATATCAATATATTTATTGAAAAAGCTATTATGTCAAAATAAGCAAACTTAAGATTCTCACGGGATTATTGCGAATAGGCCATGTTTTTATGAGCGACTGTTCATCGTTAGTTGCAAGCGACGGTAAACCTTGACCTGTGTTGACCTTGTTTACAGTATATTATATAAACAAGGTCAAGGTTTTATCGAAAGCGATTGATCGTTTATACTTTATATAGATTTCCTTTTATACTATTTCATAACTTAATAACGTTATTTCCTACAAATTTAGCTTTATTGTAGCTTTATTGAAAGTATAAAAAAACATGGAAACGGTGAATTACTATAGATTGAAAATAATTATTAAACTATCATTGAAATTATCGACGTAATGCTATTTCGTTGTATTAAATTTCAATAGTATTAATGAGAATTTTGTGTGATATTTTTATAAATATATTTCATGCTATTTAGTATATTTCATGTTATTTTACTTCAAGTTTTGCACACAATGCATATATAAAGTATTTCGATAGCGTAGCCTTCACGATATAAATATTAAACGCCTGATAAATAAACACTCATTGCCAGCACAACTGCTCCAAAATCACAACAAATAACAGAATATAAGGTAAATTAAAACCAGCAAAGCTTTTCCTACCTTGATCTATTTTTCTAAGCAGCTCAATTATGTAAATTTTCTTTGCCTTTCCTCGACGAAAGCCGTGGACGAAAACGTGCATGAGTGATGAAAATGCTCGTGGAAGAAGCTCGTAATTGTCTGCCTCCTCCGCAGGCTCCTCTATATAGATCAAATTTAAATATTGGTAATATATAGATCAGCGCGTGCACTACAAGCCCGATAAAGACGCACGCCTTTAGGCGCACGCCCGCAAATCCGCGCGCCCCCATTAATTTTCGTCTTTTCCTAATTAATTATTTGATCACCAAGCGACTGGGGACGAGGCAGCGTAATTGTTGTAATTTACAAATTTGCCACGTGACCGCGGTACGCTCACCACCGCTCACCGATTATCACCGCTCACGACGACACGAAATTTAGAGCTACATGAAAGTTGCATGCGACGTATGGCATGCAACAAAAACCGAAATATTACGTTGAAAATGCTGATGAGACGATCAACGAAGGAGATTTTAACGAGATCAAGATAATAAATAACCGAGCAACAGCAATTTTGGATAAAATAAACACTCCAGTCGCGAGTATTCAAGAGTTAAAAATCGATCGCGGGGAAACAGCAAGGAATGTTCGACAATGGAAAAAGGAAAATAAGGAAATTTACAGGCCGCTAGTGGAAAAAATGGGAAACTATTTGACGCTTATAACCAGAAACAAAGGAAAACAAACGATGAAATAGAGTGGGAAAAACAAGAAGCAGAAAGGGAGAACGAGAACGTCGTCGGCGAGAAATACGAGAGCGCGAAAGAGAAATGTGGGAAGAAAAATTTAACGCAGAATTACGAATGACCGAGAAAAAGATTGAAATGGAAACACAGGCAAAGGCTAGTTTGGCAAAACTTCCACGTTTGAAGATTACACCATTCAAAGGTACGGCAGCTGAATGGGTTCGGTTTGAAAATATGTTTCTGACTCAAGTTGACAGCAGACCGATTCTGAGGAAGAAAAATTTGGTTATCTGCTAGAGTCGGTGGTACCTAAGCTAAGAGATAGAATTTCTAATCTAAAACCAAGCTCTGTGGGGTATAAAACGGCATGGGACCGCTTGAAAAAGGAATATGGGCAAACCCGAGCAGTGATCAGTGCGCATTTAGATGAAATCATCAACTTAGCTACTATTAGAGGAACTAATCATGAGAAACGTTGTGCTTTTCGAAGACATATCGTCTATACTTCTATTTCAACACACTTAAATAATTAATTAATTAAAAGGCCACTCCAAATTAGACTTTAGTTTCCCGTCCTCCGCCCGCGTCTCCTAGAACTGGCCGCATGATTTGTCCATTACTGCAAAGTTGTTTCCATTATTTGACTTTTGTGACAAACAATTACGAAAAACTACAGTTTTCAAATAATCTATCGTTCAAGAAATACATATTTATGATACAACACGTAAAAATCGAAATGAAATTCTTGAAACTTTTATCAAAGACCGTCCGGGCGGATATTGTAATTTGAAATAAGGGCCGGACGTGACGGGAAACTAAAGTCTAATTTTGACCATGTTATATACAAATAAAAAATTTTTTATAAAAAACTATATATAAATTTTATTTCTATATAACATGGTTTTAATTAATTAATTATTTGAGTGTGTTGAAAGAGAAGTATAGACGATATGTCTTCGAAAAGCACAAAGTTATCAAGCTCTTTCATTGCTTCAACTAGAAAAATTTCCCAAATATAATCATGGGAAAATTCAAGAGTTTTATGATAAGTTAAGCAGAAACCCTAGGAGAGGGGGGAAAATTACAAGGATTTGTTATGAACACATTGAACAAATTACCACATGTAAGGCCTAACTTAGTAAGGGTGGATAGCAGCTGGGAGGATGAATGGGAGATGGGAGCTCTGATTAATAACTTACAAGCATGGTTGAAAAGAAACAAATGTGATGATGGTTCCAAACCCCCAAGTGATAACAGGAAGAGAGAAAGAAATTGGTACGTGGGGGATGGGAAACCGAAGTGCATATTTTGTAGCGAGGAACACTGGAGTGATGAGTGCAAAAGAGTAGTTACACGAGATCAGAGAAGGAAATTTATTTATTTACTTTGCCATCATACTTATACATTCATTGGCTGGGAAACCACAACAGCTATTGCCAATTACGGCGGCCCCAATAGTTATACAGAAACAATTTACAAGGTATACTAAACACACACAACAGACAATACTTGAATAGTCATTACATTTGTCTAAAAGCAGCATGTCAATGGAGAGTTCATTAAACTTCGAGCGGAATTACATTTTATACACACACTTTTCCATGTCCGGGGATCCTCAACATCGTATGTATTTTCGAATGCTAAAATATAGTACTTAAAAAGAAGATTCTTAGTGAATTCTGAAAATGTTAGGTCTTTGGATGTAATATAATTGGGTAGTGTGTTCCATATTCTTGATGTTCGGATTTTGTAAGATTTTTCATAGGTTGACGTCTTGTATGTCGGAATTTTATATTTGTGCGAGTTGGGATTAAATGATCTTGTCTGTCTTTGACCCTGAGGTTGAGGAAATGGAAGAATTTTTTTATCAATATTAAAAATGTCGTGATTTGCCTTATAGACAAATACTACATCCAGGTATTCGTGCCAGTAGCTGAGAGGGAGCAAACTGGTTGCAAGGAGTCGGTCTCTATATTCTGTATCACAAATAAAGGGAACATTTAAAATATATTTAGTTGCACGCCTCTGAACTCGTTCTACTCTTTTCACCAACTCAACTGTTTGGGGCGCCCATACTTGGGTGGCATATCCTAAGTGTGAGCGAACCAGAGAAAGGTACAGTGTTCGTCGAATTGCAAACTCGCGAATATTGAAAGTTGATCTTCGAATATAACCCAACATTTTATTAGCTTTGTTACTTTGTTGTGTAACTTGCTTTGACCAAGTGAGATCATAATTCGTCCATACACCTAAATCGAGTTCGCAATCAGTCTTTTCTAGTATGGTATCTTGTAGTTGATAAGGGAAATTTATTTTGCTGTGTTTCTTGGTGACCTGGAGGGTTTTACATTTTGATGTGTTAAGATGCAGACCAGCATTGGATGAGGAGGAATTAAAGTTGAGAAGATCATTTTGTAATAACATTGCATCGGTCCTGGAATTAATCACTTTAAAAATCTTAGTGTCATCAGCGAAAGCTGCTACGTTCGAATTCACGATGGAAGAGGATAGATCATTGGTATATAAGAGGAAAAGTAGCGGGCCAAGAATGGAACCTTGTGGTACTCCGGATGTCACTGGTAGTGCTGTCGATGTTGCACGGAGAACAGTAGTTTGTTGTTGGCGATTTTTCAAGTAAGAATTAAACCACATTAAGAGATTTCCTCCGAATCCAAATTCTCTGAGACGATGTAGAAGACGTATGTGACTAACCTTATCAAATGCTTTTGACATATCCAGGTAGATCACATCAATCTGCTTTCCGAGATCTAATTGGCTGCCGATGGTATCTAAAACTTCAATTGGTTGTGTCACGCATGATTTTCCTGAAATGAAGCCGTGTTGGCAAGAATTTATTTGACTGAAAGCATGTTCTTTGATACTAATGAACACGCAACGCTCTAAGACTTTGGAGACAAGTGAGAGAAGAGAAATTGGCCGATAGTTTTCTACATGATCTTTATCCCCCTTTTTGTGGATGGGTACAACATTGGCAAGTTTCCATTCTCGAGGTACTATTCCACTTTTTAAGGACTTGTTAAACAGAAGGCATAGAGATGGAGCGATTTGGTATGCAGTTTCGGTAAGTAATCTTGCTGGGATTTCATCCGGACCATGCGCTTTGTTGTTATCAAGATTTCTTAAAACTGAGCGCACTGTTCCTTCCGACAAAACAATGTCATTAAAAATAGTGTCAGTGGTTTCGGATATAGATTGTTGATTAACAATATTGATAGGATCACTCGAGAAGATTGATACAAAGTAGCGGTTGAAAAGTGTTGCGATGTCCCTAGGATTCTCGGCATATTCACGAATATTGTTGACACTTGTTTTTATTGAAATTTTTTCCGGGACAGAACGTGTTGCGCCTTTTAGTTTAAATAGTGACCAGAAACGTTTGGAATTGGTTTGGATGTTTGTGCAGAGAGAGGAAATGTAGTTGGATCGGCTGATTTTTATCATAAGCTTGATTGTGGCTCTGAAAGTTTTAAACTTGTGGCGGAGATAGTCACTGGGAGATTTTTTCAATCTTTGTCTTAAGGAATTTTTCTTTTTGATGTTGTGCAAAATTTCACCAGTAAGCCAAGGCACATATTTTCGACTTCGAAGTCTTTTAGTTGGGATATGATCAGCAACTATTGTAAGGAAAGTACTTTTCCAGATCAGCCAGTCGTGGTCAATATCGCCTTCCGCTGATATTAGGTTGGACAGATTCTCGGATTCGAGTGATGATCTTAAAGCAACGAAATTGCCACGTTGGTAGTCGTATACTGTTCTATTCATATTTACTGGAGATTTTGGAGATATAAGGACATCAAAGAGAATTATATTGTGATCAGTGAAAACTTCTGCTTCAGCAGGAGATAAAACTTCATGAATATTTACAAGGTTGGGAACATTGGTAAGCACAAGGTCCAGCACGTTGTTGCGTCTAGTTGGTTTGTTGTTAAGTAGAGATAAGAAATAGTCATTCATTAATTCTAAGAATGAAATTTCATTGGCTCCTGTTGTATTTTCTGGGGAATTCCAGGAGATATGTGGCATATTAAAGTCGCCAACAAGAACGATATTCTCATAGCAGCTGCAAATATCATTTAGATAGTGGTTAAAATTGTTGAGCCAATTTTGATCAGCGTTAGGTGGACGGTAGCAAGAGCAAATCAAGAGTCGACTATTTGAGGATGTAGTTATTTCAGCAGAGATAATTTCTAGATATTGATTTTGATGAACTTCTCGCACCGACTTAAAGCAATCAGTTTTAATTGCAAGTAATACTCCACCGCCTCGAGTTTCGCGATCTTTTCGAAGTATAGTGTAATCGGAGTTCAGGATTTCTGAATTATCAGTGTTTCCATTGAGCCAAGTTTCATTGACACGAACAATATCAATTTGTTCAGAATAAACTAAGTCTTGAAAGCAGTTTAGATTGCGGACAGTTTCAGATTCTGTTAGTATATGGGTACTCATCAAACTACGGGCATTCATGGCTAAGCATTTTACTGACCTATTTACATGGGCATTACAGGGACCAGGGTTAATAGCAACGTCTCCTGACAATAAGATACATAACAGAACGTGCAAGTTATTATTCCTGATTTGAAACAGCAAGCCATAGCGATAATTACAGGATAATGAACATTTCCTTATGTTTATATCACGTGTTGATATCCAGATGTGACTTAGTCTGCCAGATATAGATATAAGTTCTGCAGAAATAATAATATTCTTTGACGTTGTGGAGGTGTTTTGTGAAACTAGTACCGGTTGAGATCGAGGTAAAAGCCAGAGACATAAAGCAAGGAATAAGAGCCAACCAGTAGTCGAATAGGGCAAGCTTCGGGGAGTGGGCAAGTTCATTGTATTAACCTTTTAATGCGGGGAAATCCCCACGAGTGAAACCAGATATGTTGATCTGTGTGATAGTATTCGCAGCGACTACATCCACGAGAATACAAAAATTAGTCACCAAATATTGCACCAAAAAACCGCAAAATAAATTAAAATTGTGCTGTTCGTGAGATAAACGGAAAACCAAGATAAAAAATTCACTTTCCGCAGCCAGAACTATGACACAACTCCGCAAATCCTTTAAGTTGTTGTTGCTATGAAACGCAACGCCAGACAAAATTTAAATTCAAAAGTTTAAACGGTCAAAATAATAAAAGTACCATGAATCACGAACAGTACATCCAAAGAACACAAAAATTACACACGAGAACAGGAACACAATTTATAGATCACTTAGAAAGTTACAGGTGAATAGAACAAACGATGACAAAGATATTGAATATATGAACCAAAATATCGGGTTGTAGTGTGAGCATCACAGCAATATCATACAAATCACCAAAAGATAATCCCAAATAATTCCTTTCGACTAAATTTCACCAACTCCTAAACACCATGAGTAAACGAACCAGATCTTTAGCTTTAATTTGATTAGTAGATCACCAGTATAAATTGAAAAAAGACTTATTTAGGGCCAGAGAAAAGCAGAGGTCACTCGACCGTGAACCTAAGTTATACGCTGATATATGTTATTTTTTAAAATATATTGTTCTAATAAGGGTACCTTGCAGGTACCCTTATTAGAACAATATATTTTATCAGGGGGGGGGCAACATTTTACCAGGGGGGGCCCCGGCCCCTGCCCTGGCTACGCCTCTGTTTAGTTTGAACAAACAGATATGTTTTAAACCCCTATTTTGATCATTATGAATTTAACTGATCAAATTTCGATCGCTGCAGTCAAAAGGCGCCGCTTCACATGCCATTTGATAAACATAACATAACCCTTTGCGATCTTTGTGCAACTCATGATTTCAGCAATCATTACGATCCACAAAAGCGATATATAGTACTGTAGCTATGTTTCCCGCATGATCTACAAACCCACGACTAAACACTAATGTCGTATAAAATAATTTGTAAAGTGATTTTCTAACTATCAATATTTTCTGCATCGTGGCGAACGTTGACAGACGGCAAATTGTCTTATGTGCATGCCTACGGCAGCAAACATTTTTCGCACAGATTATTTTCCGCTCATGTTGTAATTTCTTGCGCCTATGGGCTATGGCTCCTATCGTCTGCGCGAATTTGATTACTGCGCGAATTTGATTACTGCGCGAATTTGAATACAAGTATTATTCCATTCAAGGCTGGGGAATATAAAACCGGGGAATATTTCAACATTAATTTTAATTAATAGTGATATTTTCCTATTTGTTGCGCCGATGTCGATGAGGCATAACTAACCCACGCAGCAAAATGAAACATAACACTGACACGTCGAAGTGTCATCCCGGATGTCGGGATTTGCATTCAGTTCTGGATCAAAACTTGCGAGAAATTGTCATTCGAACCTTACTTGCGATTAAACTTTTGTTAACGCATACACGTGTAGACGAGCTTTCTTAAATGAATGATAAAATCTGAGCGCAGTTTGAGCTTGCAAATCAATGCGTCCAATTTAACTCATTAGATTTATTAGTCGAATAGTTTAGAAGGACGATTGTACAACTCATATGAAATATATATGTGAGGCTTCCTGAGTTAACAGCGAGGCTTACAGTCACATTTGTATCATATCATCATCAAACTAAGCCTTAGGATCAAAGAAAATTGCTATACTTACATCATAACGGTTACTCTCCAAGTACTCAAACACTATATTCTGAACAGTCCTGGAAGACAACCCCAACTGAAAGCCAGCGACCGAATAAAAACATAGCCCATCATCGCCGAGAGGATTATACGAAGTCCTTATGTCCAGCCTCTACTATTCTGCTCTGATTCCTCTGAAGTACTTCCATTTCACACAAGTTTTATACCCTACAGCAGTGCGGCAACTGCATGAAGACGGTTTTAACAGAGGGTCCTGAAGGGGTAAAATGGGAACTGGGATTGATCTATTTTTTAGACTGGGAAAATGGGATTTGGGTTGCTGGGACTGGGATTTGCCCACTGGGAATGGGAAATGTAGTCCTTAAAAATGGGAATAGGATTGAGGTAATGCGAGTCGATTCCCAATTTTTCCACGTTTTAAGTATTTTAAAATACAATTTTGATCCGTTTTTGGTGTCTTTGGTCATGATTTTTATTGTTGTCTATATTATTCACAGCACTACCTGAGAACAGGCATACTCTGGCGCCCGGAATTCTGGGTTTTCTGATTATGCGTCTCCCCAAGTCAGATGCGCAGCGGAATTTATGCCTGGTTTCCGGTACATACTTCATTTAACCCTTATTATATACCTTAAAGGCAAAGCACAACAAAAAATACCGTGATGTCGGACATGTCGGAAACAAGTTACTTAACCGAAGTGGTCCGAAGTAAATCCCATGTCCTCGACCTGTAGTAACGGGCTTAATTCAGTGGCAAGAGCAGGGCGTAGGAACCGGGGGGGCAGTGGGGCCAAGGCCCCCCTTCCAAGTTTTCAAAAGTGCCCTTTTTCCGGTGGCAAAGTACCCTTTGTGTTAGTGAAAAATGTTGTTCAGATTGCATTTTTGCCTCAATGACCTTCGATTAAAATATAATATAAATGTATTGTCAGTGTAAACTGATTTGCGAAATCATGGCATTTACGTGGATACCATTTAACTGTAATCGTAAATCGGTAAATGTTTTTCGGTTTATTAAACTTCTCAGGGCCGAAGCAAATGCAAGTGGTAGGCTGCAGCCCTCCCAATAATTTGCTAATAATCATTCTTTTGTCAAAATCATGCAGATCTTTATCAGTTACAATTTGAGCATGGTTTCTAAACGAAGCGACTGTCGAGATGAAAACGGAGCGCTTGGCGGCTTCGTGTCAACACAAACGCCGTTATACTTTTTTGAACCGCTTGCAAACCAAGCATCTCAAGATTAATGTAAAATGGCCGACAGACGTGCGTTTACAAGCTCAGTATTTTTACTCAGCCTTGTACTGTTTGTTTTCAAAACGGTTGGGTTTCGTACTGGCTTACAATATAAGACTTATATACCTATAAAACATGTTTCTAGCGAAGAAAATTGTAGAGTTAACCTGGAATATAAGCGATTTTCTATTGACCATTTTGGGTTGCGAAATCACGATGAGTTGGCTCAATCTTGGACGTATTTTGCTATTGTTAACTATCTTAAAGAGAGTAGGCTATTTGGTTATTATTGGAATAGAGCTTTCTCGAAGATATCGTGTATGTTTGGGCTACTACTAAAAAGCGATACAACGATACAGCGATACAGGAACCGGAACCTGGAACCGGAACCCGGAACCGTGCATAATTTATGCAAATTGCACCACAGGAGATATACATAATAATAATTTACAGGGGGGAGGGCGCAATTCAATGATAATATACAATATTATTGTAGCACTAAATATTACGAAGTAAAACATGTTTCATAATTGCGCGGCGATTCTTTTTGTCAGTTTTGATGACTGCATGTGACGCACTTAGTTTATTTAGCCGCCGCACTTGAATTGATTATGAAATCCCAGCAGACAGAGAAGGAAACCACGGCACGCAAAGTAGATTGCGCTGAATTCAGCAGCAATTGTGCAATAAAATAATTCGAGTGTAGTGTAGTGTATGACGCAATCCAACTTGTCTTAAATGTGCTATATACGCTGCCGCCGGAATACGCGAATATTGCGAATATGCTTATTTGCTGCGTACTAAAAATATCCGCTTGACTGACATCGATCACAAACATGAATGAAGTTATGAAGGTAACTTCAATGTCAAAAATACATTTAATGATGAAAAATTGAAATGTCTGATTGAAATTCAGCGTCGAAATTCACTTAGCCGTGTCTCTTACCCTATATAATATATAGTACTATCAAGTACCGTTTCCGACATTATAAAAGCAATATCTGACATTGAAGCTGTTAACTCGAAGCGACTTGACATGGCCATGCCAATGTATTTTTTACATTGAAGTTACCTTCTGACATATAAACTTCATTTATGTTTGTGATTGATATTCAGGCGGATATTTTTAGCATGCAGCATATTAATGTTATTTATTTATATTCGCAAAATTCGCAGTGTATATATAGCATATTCAATGTTGGATTGCATCTTACACTACACTACAAATTAATTTAGTGCACAATTGCTGCTGAATCCAGCGCAATCTGCTTTGCGTGCCGTGATTTCCTTCTCTGTCTGCTGGGATTTCATCATCAAGTGCGGCGGCCAGTAAATAAACTAAGAGCGTCGCATGCAGTCGTATCAAAACAGACAAGAAGAATGGCCGCGCAATTACGAAACATGTTTTACTGTCAGTGCTACAACGATGTTCATCTTTGTTTTGTTTAAAAATCAAAATGCCTTGCATATAATATTGTATTTTATCATTGAATTGCGCCCTCCCCCCCTGTAATTATTATTATGTATATCTCCTGTGGTGCAAAATGCTCTGATTTGCATAAATTATGCACGGTTCCAGGTTCCGGTTCCAGGTTCCGGTTCCAGGTTCCGGTTCCAGGTTCCGGTTCCTGTATCGCTGTATCGTTGTATCGCTGTATCGCTTTTTAGTAGTAGCCGTATGTTTGGGGACAAAAACCGATGTTTTGGCCAAGGAATAGAGCAAAGTTTGATCGAGTCGCAATTTGAGTTTAAAGTGTTGTTCAACCAAGCTGAACGATTGCAAATCTGTGTATTTTTCCAACTGGATATTTGCATACTGTATAAGCATGTTATAAAATACGAAAGGAGAAATTACAAACGTTTGAAACTTCGGATTCAATACTATTCGAACAGTGTAGCCACGTTCCAGTTGCTAATCGCCTGCGGAGATGTTCAAACTAATCCAGGACCTTTGACAACCGAATTATCCTCGGCTAATAAGCAGAATAATAGACATAATAATAATCTAATTAACATCGTCTGTTCTCACGGGCAACGACCAGACGGTTTCTATGGCGACCCTGTGCTATTTAAACCCCTGAGATTCTGCTTGTGGAACTGCCAGTCAGTTCGCAACAAAACGGCAGCATTACAAGATTACCTTTGCGAGAAAAAGATTGATTTATGTGCATTAACTGAGACATGGTTATTATCGGATGACGATGCTGTTCGTGCTGAATGCATACCCAGTGGATATAAAATTTTCGACCAAATCCGTTCTCGGAGGGGAGGGGGTGGCATAGCGTTGTTGTCGTGTGCAAAATTGTCTGTATCTATTATCACTTCTGGGGAACGAACCTCATTTGAGTTTGTGGAATATATGGTCAGTCACGAAAACAATTCTATTAAAGTAGTAGTTGTCTATAGAACGCCATACTCAAGGTCGCATCAAGTAACAGTGACGACATTTTTAAAGGAGTTTGCAGAGTACTTAGAGTCTATTGTACTGTCGCGAGAGCCACTATTGGTAACCGGAGATATGAATATCCACGTTGATGATACGAATGACACCGACGCTGTTAAGTTCTTGGATCTTTTGGAGTCTATGGGAATGACACAACATGTAAATACGCCTACACATCGAGCTGGTCACACGCTAGATCTGATGATCACGCGTGAATTTGATTGCATGATCCACTCTGAGCCTAGTTCAGATATTTTTTATTCAGATCACTGTATGGTTCTAGCTGAGTTGTCATTACACAAGCCTGCATTGACTGTTAAGAAAGTAAGTTGTCGGAAAATAAAGGATATAGACCGTGAATTATTTAGGAGGGATCTCAGAGCATCAAGGCTCTGTCAAAACCCTCCTGAATCGATTGTAGATCTTGTGACTTGTTACAACACGACATTGTCTGGCTTGCTGGATAAACATGCGCCGTTGAAAGAAAAGACAATTACTGTACGTCCCAGAGTGCCTTGGTTTAATGTTATGGTCAAGGAGGCGAAACGAATTTGTTGGAAACATGAAAGGATTTGGCGAAAGACTGGATCTGAGTTGGATAGGGAGCGGTTTGCCAAATCACGAAATCGCGCGAATCACGTGATGGAGCAGGCAAGACGGGATTACTATGTTAAATTTATTGAAGAAAACAGCGCTGATCAGCGAAGACTCTTTAAAGCGACTAGTGCACTATTGGGGAAGTCATCTGGAGAGCGCTACCCCCCGTATAAGGATTTTTCTGGGCTTGCCAATGATTTTGGTAAGTTTTTTGTCCAGAAAATTGACAATATTCGCTCTAAACTCGACAACTTTGAGTTAGATTCTCCATCAATGCCGGAGGGGGAACCAGGATATACTGGGTCATTATTTACTGAATTCCGACGTACATCATCCGAGAAAATTAAAGAGATAGTACTAAGTTTTCCGAATAAGTCTTGCGCTAGTGATCCCATCCCTACTGATATGGTTAAGGACTGCATAGATGATTTGTTGCCAGCTGTCTCTAACATGGTAAATTCTTCCCTTGTGGATGGTTATTTCCCCGACATCTGGAAAGAAGCATTAGTGAAACCTAAGCTTAAAAAATCGAACATGGACTTGATAAAAAAGAACTATCGTCCAGTGAGCAACCTTGCGTTTCTGTCTAAGGTGACTGAAAGAATTGCTGCTAAGCAAATGTGCGGTCACCTATCCGCCAATCATTTGTTTCCTGAATTTCAGTCAGCTTATCGTAACTTTCACAGCACTGAAACAGCATTGTTGCGTACGCGCAATGATATTCTCATAAACATGAATAAACAACATGTCACTCTGTTGGTGTTCCTGGACCTCAGCGCTGCATTTGATACAGTGGACCATGACATATTGTTGCGGCGTCTTAAATATAAGTTTGGGATTTGTAATAATGCGCTTGCTTGGTTTCGATCATATTTAGTGAACAGATCCCATCGTGTAGTTATAGAAAACGTAATGTCGGACAGTTTTGATATGAAGTATGGTGTGCCTCAAGGGTCTTGTTTAGGACCATTGTTGTTTATCCTGTACACAAGCAAACTGTTCGATGTCATCCACCATCACTTGCCCACCGTGCATTGCTTTGCTGACGATACGGAGTTATATCTCGCATTTAACCCAAGTAGCGATAATGCTCAGGATGCTGCCATCTTAGCTATGGAGAATTGCCTACGAGACATCCGGAATTGGATGATTACTGATAGGTTGATGATAAATGATGAAAAAACGGAATTTATGTTAATTGGAACAAAAGCTCAGCTCGCTAAAGTCAAGAACATTACTCTAACTATTGGTGAATCTGTGATTTCACCATCTGAAGAACCTATCAAGAACTTGGGCGCTTGGTTTGACCGTACCTTCAACTTGAATCACCATATCAATAAGACCTGTAGAAGTGCTTTTTATCATCTGCATAATATAAGAAGAATTCGCAAGTATTTAAGCAGAGAATCAACAGAGAAACTTGTTCATGCCTTCGTTACCAGTCACCTAGACTATTGCAATGGACTGTTATATGGACTTCCCAACAATGCTATAGCAAAATTACAACGTGTTCAGAATGCTGCCGCAAGGATTCTCTACCGTGCACCACAGTTTAGCCATATTACTCCGCTGTTGTATGAGTTACACTGGTTGCCAGTCAAATATCGAATTGAATATAAGATAATTACACTTACGTTTAAGGCAATTCATGGAACTGCCCCTAATTATATAACTGAACTTATAACTTTTAAAACAAACTCTTCTTATAGCTTAAGATCAAATAACAAACTTCTTTTATGTCCGCCAAATTTTAAGACATTGTCTACTCTTGGTGACAGAGCCTTTATGGCTGCTGCACCAAAACTATGGAATGTTTTGCCATTGAATCTTAGGAGTATCTCTAATTTTAATATTTTTAAGCAAGATCTTAAGACATATCTTTTTAAAGAGGCTTTTTATTAGCTCAGTTCTTAGATTAAATTTGTAATATTAGTTCTACGTATTTTAATTGTCCTATCCATTGTTGTAACGCGCATTTGAAAACTGCATTGTTGAATTTGCGCGATATAAATTAATAAATGTTATGTTATGTTGTTAAATAATATACCTTTAAAACTAGAAGTTACTATCGCAAGGAAAGTGCTGCCTCAACCCGTCTTCCATCACACAAGCACGTAAGCTGTGTGACCAGGTTTTTTCAGGGGCAATTACCACATCTGGCTGCATAAAATTACTACATTGGGCCAAAAATTACCACGGTACCATATTTTCCCCAAAAATGTTGGCGAGAGAGTGGGGAGTGAGAGGGCAAAAACTTTTCCGGACACCACCAGTTAAATTAAGGTTCAAAAAATTTTTTCCGGATAAATTCCTGTTAAATGGCCAAAACCCATAAAACATGGATAAAAATATGTAATATTTGGGTCTGCAAATTTTATATCTGGAAAAAGTACCAAAAATTGCTGACTATTTGTCTTTTTTGGCAATTTTCAGATTAATCACCACAATTGCAAAAATTACCGTAGTAATTACCACAAATTTCCAATTACCACAATCGTCCAAAAATGACGAAAAATTACCACGGTAGTAATGAAATTACCACATCTGGTCACACAAGCACGTAAGGCACCCCTAAGACACCAGGAGGTAGGAAAGGTGCAGTTTGAATGCGAAAACAGCTTGCACAAAGTCGAAGGTCGGCTAGATATTCTAATCATAAAGATTATAAATAACACTAGAAGAGGCATTGAGGTTAAAAATTTGGGAACACGTCTAGGGGGGGGGGGGCAAATGTAGGTCCCGGATATAAAATCATGCTCTCACCAATTGGAACACAAGTACACATGCAGGAATTTGCCCCCAATAGCAGGATTCCTCTTTTGCCTAATGTCAAGATTGCAATGCCTCCTCTAGTGTTATTTAAAATCTCCATGATTCTATTAAATCCTATTGACTTCCACAAATTCCTTATTCTTCAAGAAATTACTTCTTTGAAAATTCCTTCGTTCTAAAAAAAAAGAAGGACTTTGTGAAAGTCTATAGGTCATGCTACGCACATTTTAAATTAATGATTTGCATTATTCAGATAGATGCAGGTTTATTGGCATAGCATGACCAGTTGTCATGGCTAGCTTGCCACTGAATAATGTACAATATCATGCATAACAAACAATAGTAATACTTGAAGAATTATTTGATATGTAGAATTTAATTACAATTGCATACATAGAAATACTACCAGAAGGGCCTGTTCATATGGGCAAAAATTATCTGCGTTAGCGAGAAAACTTTTCAACAAGTTTTATACAAGCGAGATCTCACCTTGGATGAAAATAATATGAAAAGTTACATTGCGTTCATATGAGACCACAATTTTCCGTGTACCTAAATCTCGCTTGTTGACAGGCGAGAGTCTCGGTGACCGGGATAATGGTTTTGCCATATGAACACAACTTTCCCACTTAGCGGGATAACTGTCTGTCGTGTCAGCAACTGTTCAATTCAATTCATGTTCAGCGCTACGTCACAGCCGGAAACTTTACCCGGTAAGCGAGGTAAAGTTTCTCCATGTGAATTAACAGAACAAAAGTATTTGGCTAGTCGAAAAGTTTTCTCCTTAAAGTGGGATAACGTTTGCCCATATGAACAGGCCCTTTGAAGTCAGTTTTGTCGCATCATTTTAATGGCACCTTCAAGGCTACCCCTACTGTAGAACAACTGAACAATGAATCTGCCAATCGGGAGACAAAATCTATTTTGTTGACATTTTTGTTTAATACATCAGCTTCAGATGACCATTCATTTGTAATCATGACTCAGCCTAGTCCCAGTCGTTCCGAAGCAAGCGCGAGAAAAAAGTGGATGTAGTACGAGACTGGGACCTAGGTGTGACGTCACCGCTCAAGGTGCTTCAGAACCTCTCTCGCTGAAGCGTTCCGCACAGCACACCCAGGCATAAAACTTTTGACTTATTTAAATATATCAAAGCAGCGAATAGAGAGAGAGCCTGGGACGAGGCTGATCATGACTATATATATAAGAAAGAAATTGTGAGCATTATTGTATACAATTGTGTGTTCCAATGTGGGCATCATACTGCTCGATTAGTATAGTCATCGCCCAAGAAAATAAAACAATTGCAAATGGCCACTATCGAAATTGTCCCAGGTCATGACTATTAAGACCAGCATTTCTCGCAGGCATCAAGCCTTGAGACTTTATTATGCATAAGTTATTTATATACAGTAAAGCCCCACCAGTAGGTTAAGAACCACTATAGCCTGAAATTGTCGCAATTAAGCACCCAAAATACAAGTTTTTAAAAACGTTTTAAGTTTGGATATATGTCACAACCACCATATTAGTATCATGGCAATAGTTTTATGCAACAACAGTTCCTATTTAATATGCAAAATATAAAAAAGTATAGTGTAAAGAAAGTCAAAATACACTGAACTTTTATGCGGGGCTTTAGTGTATATCATAATAATTTCACTGTAATAAATAACTATTTTTATTGGCAATTTTCTAATTGACATACGTATACAACCCGTATATATATTTGTAAAATTTAATATACAATACCTTGTTGGCTTGATCTCTTGACCTCTTGACAGAAATAATTATGTATGCGAGATCACACTTCGCATAAAATATAGCGAGTTCACACATCGCTACCAAGTTTGGTACAGGTACAGCGAGTTCACAATTCGCTGCTTTTTTAGTGAAAAACATAATATGAACGGCCCCTTTTGATTTGATTTGACCAAAAGATCCCCACGAACACACACCATAATTACTAAATTAGCAAAATACAGTCGATATTTTTTTGAAAACTTGTTGTCAACTTGCCATTTACAGCACTTGCCAGGAATTAAGATTAATGAAAAGTTGTTTATTTATGTACCGTTTTAAACAACTACAAAATCTACCTGAATTTTTTAATGGCTACTTCATACAAAACAATGAAGTGCATCATTACACTGTAAATCTGGGAGTGTTGCCACAACACCAAAATCGGTGTAAATTCTTGCCTCTGTGGGGACACCGAAAAGGTGTCAGTTAACACTGATTTTAGTGTTAATTTACACCTCTTCAGTGTACATAGTCGTGTCTGTATGAACACCCATTTGGTGTTAATTTGCACCATCCTAGGTTATTTGACGCTGCTTTGGTGTAAATCCGCTTGCCTCTGTGGGGACACCAATTTGGTGTTTATTTACGCTGAGAGGGTAAACTTACACTATCCTAGGTTATTTGACGCTGCTTTGGTGTAAATCCGCTTGCCTCTGTGGGGACACCAATTTGGTGTTTGTTTACACTGAGAGAGTAAATTTACACTATCCTAGGTTACTTAACACTGCTTTGGTGTAAATCCGTTTGCCTCTGTGGGGACACCAATTTGGTGTTTATTTACACTAGGAGGGTAAACTTACACTGTCCTAGGTTATTTAACGCTGCTTTGGTGTAAATCCGCTTGCCTCTGTGGGGACACCAATTTGGTGTTTGTTTACACTGAGAGAGTAAACTTACACTGCCATAGGTTATCTAGCACTTCTTTGGTGTAAATCTACTTTCCTCTGTGGTGACACCAAATTGGTGTAAAGGTACACCTCGAAAGTAAACTTACACTTCCCAAGGTTTAAATATGCGTGCAGTGTAAAGCTTACTTTCTAGTGTTCAATGTAATGTAATTATATTATACCAATGTAGTAACAGTTAAAAATAAATTTATTACAAATTTAAACTATAATTATTTTTAGAGTTTAAGACTATAGTCTATATATACATATTTTGATTCAATTGAATCATTTTAACAGTTTACATCAGTCACAGACTCATGCACAATCCAAATTAAAGTTCATGTTACCAGTACAGGTGATTTGAAAACCAATAGTCTTTGCTGAATGGCACTTTGACACAGTCAAAAATGAGAACACGTCACTATATAGCAGCGCACACAATCGACAAATGTTTTGCTGTAACTGTCCTTCGTTAAACATTAATGCATGGCCAACACGTTCCCTTGAAAAAATAATTATTTTGCATTACAGAATATTATGAAGAGTGCACTGCACCTTTTATGTGTTTATCAAACAACTTATAGATAAAACAAACTCAATCTAATAGTACTTTTGTTGGTGACATGTCAGAGTAAATGTTTGAAATTTTAAATAGGCAGAAAGTTTGGCTAAACTATCACTAGGTAACAATTTTTTAGGGGCATGCTACAATTTAACAGGGCGCATTGGCAGAGAGACTGGTTAAACAATTAACCAGAAGAGCATAAACTTTTCTGGCAGTAACATTTTCAGTCACAGTAAATAATAAACATAGTATATTAGACATTTTAAGTTTAATTGATTGTGTATGAGGCGCCGGATGTAAAAAAATTATTTGTGAAATTTTCATGTTGTTTTTTTCATGGTTTGTAAAGAATCTCATGGTATAAAAGATTATTTACAAATAAGTATTCTAATGTGAATTGATTGTTTGTAAATAATCATTTTCACAAAATTGATTATATGTATATAATCATTTTCACAAAATTGCTTATTTGTATATAATCATGTTCACAAAATTGTTTATTTATAAATAATCAATTTTACAAAATTACTTATTTACAAATAATCATTTTCACAAAATTGTTTATTTATAAATAATCATTTACACAAAATTGCTTATTTGTAAATAATCATTTACACAAAATTGCTTATTTGTAAATAATCATTTTCACAAAATTGTTTATTTATAAATAATCATTTACACAAAATTGCTTATTTGTAAATAATCATTTTCACAAAAAAACATTGGTCTTTACATCTCTATTCACATTTACTCCGTGCAAAAAATCATTATATACAAATAATCATTTTATTGCGCTAAATAATCCTTATTTGCAAATAATCATTTTCTGAATTGGATTATATGCGCAGCTGGTATGCGCAGTAATAAAGATGAAGCATTCGCGCAATTTGGTCAGCGGTCACATATATTTCGCGCGGATCTATGTAAATAATATCTTAACATTTGAAACGTGTTTCAACCGGGCGATTTCAACGGAATCAACGCAGAAAATTTGATATTTCGATGGCTTCGTTTAATCCAGACGAATTGGGAAGAGTTGTGGCAAGCGCAGTAGCCACTTTCTTGAGTCATTCACCAGCAAGTTCGAGTGCAAATGCCAATACATCGTCAACATCAACAGCTACAACCTCGGCTTCGTCGACTAGTTCAAGTCGGGCACAGCAAAATACTACTCAGGTTTGTATAAAGATTTATAAATAAATACATTAAAATCAAAACTTCATATACTGCAGCTTATTTTCAATCATCTATTATCGAATCAGACAAGTCACAAGTGATTACAAGATGAATATATTAAGGATGGCAGGATGCCATTGGGCTATTCCAATTATTATCCGCACCCCCCTGTTGAGGAACCTTGGAATTTCCAGGGGAGGGGGTGTATTAACCTTGGCATTTCCAGGGGAGGGGGTGTATTAACCTTGGAATTTCCAGGGGAGGGGGTGTATTAACCTTGGAATTTCCAGGGGAGAGGTGCATTAACTTTAAATTTCCAG